TCAAAACAAAAACTAAAACAAAAAAAAAAACAAAAAAACCTGGAACTTCCTGGGAGCATCACATGCATAAACAATAATCATTATAACCATCCTAACAGCAGCACGAGCCAGCCTCAGTCCACCCCCGACAGTGTGCAGGCAACCGTGCTAAGCACGTCACATGGACGCCTCTCATGGGAGCCGTGTAGCTGTGCTGTGACATGGCTGTAGGTTTATTCCCATTTATATTGGGGATCATTAAACTTACAAAGGGTAAATAACTGGGACAAAGTAGTTAGTGCCACAGCCAGAATTCAAGCCATGGCCACCTGAGCCCAAAGACCATTTGCTGTTAACTCCTGTGCTGTAGAAGCTCTCTCTCCTTTTACAACTTACTGTTCCTTCATAGTAGCAACAAATGTTTTTTTTAAGTAACATCCAAATGTTTCTTCACAAGGGAGAAGACTGACTTTCTCAGTACAGGGCTCCTCTCTTCTTTTGGCCTGGCAGGAAGTGTAGGCTTTAATCCACATTTCAGTGGTGAGGAGCTTCTCCCATTCTCGGGATGCCTTCCAGGAGAAAGCGGTTTCCTCAGCAACGCACAGCCCACATGCCAGCCCCTCTGCTAGCGAATTCATTGCTTTGAGAGTCTTGGATTCTTAAAGTTGTTTCTGTTGGGATGTTCTCAACTGCTTAGACACATGTTATGACAAATTAGTGATGAAGAAGACACTGTCTTGGGCTAGAAGGCGTGACTATTCAAAGAAATTAAAGAACGCTGTCAACATAAATGGTAGTGGCCACAGACCAGAGGGCTCTGAGTAGCGGGTCCATTTATTTCCCTAGCTTTGGGCAGATACTGAATTATTCCAGATAGATGAGGTTCTACAGATTTTAAAAGTTTCCTAAAGACAATGATCCCTCTGTTCCCTGAAAGCAGTGTGTAACCGTGGGGAAATTATTTTTAATAGCTAATCCAAGTACTGCACCTGACAATCTTGACATTACCTCTTACTATATGCTCCTTAGGTAGAAATGGACAAAAAGTCCCCCACTTGATACAGGGGACCACATTTGTCCTGCCAGATTGTCTTGGAAGAAGGATTATGGTGGAGGAAAGGACTCCCGGCCTTCAGGGAAGGGTAGAGGGTGAGGGGAGAAGTGAGCCACAACCTCTAGCTTGATGTAAGTGGAGGGCCAAGTCTATTGGGTCCTTCAGGAACCATGAGCATAAGAACTTCCGGAACTTCTGCAGATGTGTGCTTGCTGACTAGTGCCTGCCTCCTGTCAAAAACACACAAAGAAAAGGTTCCACACACTTGCTTCCTGGGCAGCAAAAGAGAGAAAGAGGAGAAAGCAGGGTGGTGGGTGAACTGGCTCTAGGGAGATGGGGAGAGAATGGCCCTAGGGGACACTGAGGGGCTGCTTTGTTAGGAGAAGATGAAGGCCGATTTTTGGTGGCCAAAACAGGGAAAGAGATAAAAGCCTGGAGACTCATAAGGAGTCCCCGAAAGGACCCTGACACTGAGCAGGAGAAAGGCCCTAGCACACTCCTATGCGTGTTAGATGTTAAACAGGCCCTAGCACACTCCTATGCGTGTTAGATGTTAGAGAGGCTTGCACACTCCGATGTGTGTTAGATGTTAGAGAGGCCTTGCACACTCCGATGTGTGTTAGATGTTAGAGAGGCCTCACACACTCCTATGTGTGTTAGATGTTAGAGAGGCCTCGCACACTCCCATGTGTGTTAGAGGTTAGGTCTTGCACACTCCGATGTGTGTTAGATGTTAGAGAGGCCTTGCACACTCCGATGTGTGTTAGATGTTAGAGAGGCCTTGCACACTCCTATGTGTGTTAGATGTTAGAAAGGCCCTAGCACACTACTATGTGTCCTACCTCGGGCTTCCACATGCTTGTGAACTATGCAAGTTCACAGGGTCTTGACATACCCCTGGTAAAATCACATCTCCTCCTGGGTTCTGTTTTTTTCATTCTTTGTTGTATTTTTGTCTGTTCTAGTGAAAGACTTTTATTTTTTATGGAAAGACATAAAAGGGAGGAAAAACAGAAAACATTTCTTGGAATGGGCAGAGGACTTCAGAGGTGGAAATTTGGGAACAGACATGATCAATTCAAATGGCAGGTGACAAAAAATACATAAGTAAAACAAATGAAGAAAGGAAGAAGTGTTAAAGGGAGAACACAGAATTATTATTCCAAGCTCATGTGTCTTATAGACAGTATCATCATGCCCTTTCACTCATTCCGCAGCCATTTATGAAGTCCCTATCATGCTGAGGGACTGTGCTGTGCTATGGATGAAGCATGTGTGAGTGAGACTTGGAGGCCCCAGGGTCTCTCAGGGAGCTGGACTGTGTATTGCAGGTGGATGGTGAGACATGAAAGTCGGAAGCCCAGAACTGGTCCCAAGGGGTTCAGAGGAGGCAAGATTCCTCTCCGCTGGGATGGTGCAAGCAGGTGTTGGAGAGGAGGAAGCCTGAGAACCAGGACCTGAAAAACAGCAGGTGGAATTTAGTCCTGCCCACCAAGGGGAGGGCGTCCTAGGTGGGAAGGATATTGAGGGCAGAGGCATAGAATGAGAAAGTGCAGACTCAATGAAGGGAGAAAGTCTGCACCAAAGGAAGCCTGATATGGAATGGGAGAAAATTGTGTTGGAACGCAGTTCAGAGCCCAGGCGCAGAGTTTCTTGACTTCCTTCATTTTTAGGTCTCTGGGAAGTCATTGGAAGCCTTTGGCTTGTGGCCAGATGGCTGGGGCAGGGGTGCGGGGAGTGCTGTGTGGCTGCAAGTGACGCTTTGGGGTGAGGGTGACAGCAAAAGCCTTTCTCCTGATGCTTATTAAAAATGAGGAACTGTCACCTGTGTAATTATTGGTGAGCCCAGGTACCATTAGCCTGTTGCAGACTGCAGCGGCAGCTGCTGGTGAGAAGGCTATGGGTGAGAAGGACTTCATGCAAGTCAAGGGCTTTGCTGGGTCGCTCTGCAGAAGGATGAACGATGGCTCCTTCTGACCCTGTGGGCAGCCTCATGGTGGGGACTTTCTCTGAAGCTGCTGGCCCCAGCTCATGCTTTGCTCCTTTACTCTTTGGAAGTGGAACAGCCCTCTTTGATGGCGCACTCACCCATAAGCTCGAGGGAACTGCCTGGCCGCGGGCAAACTTCCAACCCGCACAGACAGTGGCCGCTCTGAATGGCAGCTTTGCCTCTCCACCACGCTGGCCTTCCACGCTGGGGATTCTGGAGGCTCCGTGAAGCGATTTTGAGCAAACATGGAAAAATACAATCCCAGATCATCATTACCCAATTATCTATGTTCCTGAGTATTGTTTTTCCAAGATGAACGATTCCATAGCTACAATAAGGAATTACCTAGAAATTGGCCAGGCGTGGTGGCTTATGCCTGTAATCCCAGCACTTTGGGAGGCTGAGGCGGGTGGATCACTTGAGGTCAAGAGTTCGAGACCAGCCTGGTCAACATGGTGAAACCCCGTCTCCACTAAAAATACAAAAAAAAAAAAAAAAGCTGGGAGTTGTGGTACACACCTGTAATCCCAGCTACTCGGGAGGCTGAGGCAGGAGAATTGCTTGAACCCCGGAAGTGGAGGTTACAGTGAGCTGAGATGGCACCACTGCACTCCAGCCTGGGTGACAGAGTGAGCCTCTGTCTCAAAAAAAAAAAAAAAAAAAAAGAATTACCTAGAAATTGAATATTTGTATACCTTAGTGCCAGTTCAGTGTGTCCTCATCCTATACTCATTTTGAGGAAGGATAGGCAGCACCTGCATTTACAACCTTGGTCCAAATATGGCACAGCCTGGGTTCCTGGTCAATGGCACCAGCTGAGCTCCTAGTTGGCAGCCATGTATAAGTACAAAGTATTGTTACATTATCTAGAATTCATCATAGAAATTCCCAGAAGTCTGGTGGCATCTGGACAGCATATATGCAAGTAGAAAAAAAGATATAGCTCATCTTCTTCTGCTAATGCTTCGGCAATATTTAGAACTGATCTTTTATGAGTCCACTCCTCTTTATCCTCTAATATCACCCCCCCAACCCCCCACCCCCACATTCTGAAATTATCCTGTTCACTGTTTGCTGTCTCCTCTCTTGGGAACACTTGCCTCCAGTGAGCAAGGACTCTGCCTGCCTGGTTCATGGCTATGCTCTTGCCTGGAACAGTGGGGAGCCTGCCTTTTCCTTCCTTCCATTTGTGGGTCAGGCTCTCTGCATGTTCCTCCTTGGGGTCTGACCTTGCAGACATGAACACTCTTCATCAGCCCCCTTGGCCTTCTTCTTACATTAAGTATTACGTAAGGTAGAAGTTAGAAGGAGGACCTGTTTTAACAGGCACTCGTTAAAATTTGTATTTCTAGGCAAAAGCACTTGCCTTTTCACTGACCACCACTGACACTGGTTTGTGTTATAGTTACAAAGAATTCTCAGTCTTTAAAGGAGGATTAACTGATTTATACTGAAGCATGTTTCATCTTGTTTTCTAAATGTAATGTACTTCTTAATGACACAGGAACTGGAAGGCAAGTAGCTGAGGGCATCAGTCTTTAGCCAAAGGCCCACAGGATCACACTGGAGCTGAACATATTGGGTTCACCACACAGTGCAGTGCTGGAGGACACACACCATGGGGAAACTTGGAGAGTCTCAGTAAGAGGGTAGGAAAGGACTTAGAGAATTTGCACTTGTGTTTTGGGGAGGACTTGAGGAAGGCGAGCTTTGCTCTGCCTTGGATGCTGTCAGGAAGTGGTGAATTCTGTGATTGAGTATCTTGGTCATTCTTATCCAGAAAGAAAAAAAAAGGAAGCGGTTAGAGCCCTGCTGGGTAAAGAAGCCGCAGCCACTCATATTGGCCAGGACAGAGAGACGCTGGTCATTTTGATTTCAGGAATGCTCTTATTTTTGGCCATGTTCAGATGTGAATGAAAGACTTTCCCTGAGGCCTGAAAGCTGGGGGTGGTGGGTGAATAACTCCTCCATTCTCAGGGCCAGTCCCAAGGTGCAAGACCACTTGCGCCAGCAGCGTGTGTCAGCAAGATAGCAGAAGCAGGAAGAGAGCTGGCCGGAAGACACGTACCCCCTGAAGACCAAGAGAGAGGCCATCTGGGTACCGAGTAGCAGTTACATCAGACTGAGACACGTCCTGTTTACAGGAGACTATAAAGCCCCTGCCCCGTCCTCATTTGGTGCTGACGCCATTTTAGGCCTCAGCCTATCTGCACCAGGCACTCATTAAAACAGCGTGTTGCTCCACACTGCCTTGTGGTGTTTGTTGGCGCGCTCTTGGGGTTCGAACCGATACAAGAGCCTTGCAGTGATTATGGGTGGTCTTGTCTTCGTCTTCCTCCATCCTGAGTGGGGTTGGTGCTTGTTGCCTGGTGTTGATGTTATGTCAGATTATGTCCCACAGAACATCAGCGCTTAGTTGTGAGTGCCAGGCCAGCTCCTGCTGCCAAGAGCTTTTCTCCGATTCAGCAACGTATCACAGAGCGCTGTAGGGAGACCTCAGCCTGGTGTACCATAGAAGGCAGGGAGATGATATGTGAATCACAAAGTGAAGAGACAAGTTTCGAACACCTTGGTCCTAAGGTGTAGATTTGGTTTCAATACATAACATTTTTTTATGGAGGTAACATTTAGATTTAACACTCTAACTGGTACTACTAATACAGTAGCATAAGTTTTCTCTAATTTTGCATAAATAAACAGGTTTAAGGTTACTTAAATGTTGACAAGAGCCTCACCTTAAGTTCTGTGTTCCTCCCAACCCCATTAACATCTTTGTGGTGCAAGTGAGGAATTTTCTCTTCTGGGATCTAAATATTGCAGACGCTACTATGTTGCAGCAAGTCCTCAGGCTGAAGGACTGGGCTCCACAAACGTGTTGGAGATGGGACATAGTTGCATGCACTTAAGGAAAATTGCTTTCTGTTAAAACTTGCTAGAGAAGTGAGACCATTACTGTTTAAACACACAGACTTTGAAGTCAGGCCAATCTGGGTTTGAATCATCCCAGGCCTCCCATTTCCTTGTTGTGTGACCTTGGGCAAGTTATCCAATCACTCTAAGTCTTAGCTGTTACAAATATAAGATGGGGATAGACATTTCTATTCATAATTTTGTTGAGAGAAATAAACCCACTGTGACAATGGGAAACACTGCGTGTTGTATGTGGCATACTTATTGATTGTTACCAGGTAATCATCAGCCATCACCTGAAGTCCAGGAGCAATCAAAGGGAGATCACAATGAGCTTCTTCCTGAGAGTCATTCTTAGGTAAAGGGGTGGTGCTGGTTGTTATGAAATGATTATTTCATTGGATTCAGGAAATCTGAGTTACAGCTCTGACTTGGTAATGAATCAGCTGTATAACTTTGAATAAGTCTCTTCATCTTTTTGAGCTGCAATTTGCTTATTTATAAAATGAAAATAATGATGGCAGCCCCTTTGCACCACCAGAGTTATCGTGACACTGAAATGAGAGCAAGCAACAATGATCAAGGTTTTACGGCTGTACCATGTGCAAAGCCATGTTGCAAAGGTACGCAGCATTAGAAAATGTAAGATGCTATCAAAGAACTTGAGTTTATCATAAATTCACTCCTCAAAAGTGGCCTTTAAAATGCTTATCTATATGGAACATTCTTTTTGTTTCCTTCTTTTGGGCAATATGACATACAAAAGTACACATTTTTACACATTTTTATCTACATGTAACCGTCACCAAGATTTAAAGTAAATATTTCCGTGGAAGACATTAAATTGTCTTTGCAGATGACACGATTTTATACATAGAAAGCCCTAATGATTTCAGCAAAAAAAACCAAAAAAACAAAAAACAAAAAAACTGTTAGAAATGATAAATTTCGATAAGTTGCAGAATACAAAATCAACCTGTGAGAATCAGTAGCATTTCTATATGTTAACAACAAGCTATCTGGAAAAGAAATTAGGAAACAATCTCATTTACAATGGCATAAAAATACTTAGAAATCAATTTAACCAAAGAGAAAAAATCTGTTCATTGAAAACTATATCATGTTTTACATTGATAAAATAAATTGAAGAAGATGGAAATAAATGGAAAGCTATGCTGTGTTCATGAACTGGAAAAATCAATACTGTTGAAATGCTCATATTACCCCAAATGATCTACAGATTCAATGCAATTCCTATCCAAATTCCAATGACATTTTTTTCACAGAAATAGAAAAAATGATTCTAAAACTCACATGGAACCACAAAAGATCTGAAACTGTAAAACTACTAGAAGAAAACATAGGGGGAAGTCTTCCCAACATTGGTCTTTGCAAACAATTTTTGCATTATGAACCAAAAGCACAGGCAACAAAAGCAAAAAATGGGATTGTATGAAACTAGAAATCTTCTGCACAACAAAATAAACAATTTAATACAGTGAAAAGACAACCTGTGGAACCTGCAAGCCATATATTTGATAAAGAGTTAATACAGAAAATATATAAGAAACTCAAACAACTCAATAGTAAGAAAACAACTCAATTTTAAAATGGGCAAAGGACCTGAATAGACATTTCTCCAAAGAAAACATATAGAGGCAATAGTTGTTTTTTTTTGTTTGTTTTTTTGTTTTTTGTTTTTTTTTGAGATGGAGTCTCGCTGTGTTGCCCAGGCTGGAGCACAGTGGTGTGATCTCGGCTCACTGCAAACTCTGCCTCCCAGGTTCATGCCATTCTCCTACCTCAGCCTCCTGAGTAGCTGGGACTACAGGCGACCGCCACGACGCCCAGCTAATTTTTTGTATTTTTAGTGAAGACGGGGTTTCACTGTGTTAGCCAGGATGGTCTCGATCTCCTGACCTCGTGATCCACCCGCCTCGGCCTCCCAAAGTGCTGGGAATACAGGTGTGAGCCACCGCGCTCGGCCAGAGGCAATAATTTTAAGGAAAAATGTTCAGCATCACTAGTTATCAGGGAAATGCAAATCAAAACCACAATGAGATATCGCTTCACACTTCCCAGAATGGCTATAATCAAAAAGACTCTTTTAATAACAAGTGGCAGCAAAGATGTGGAGAACAGAAAACACTTGTACACTGTTGGTAAATTAGTGCAGTCATTATGGAAAACAGTATGGAGGTTCCTCAAAAAATTAAAAATAGAACAGGTATATGATCCAGTAATTTCTCTTCTACATATAGATACAAAGGAAAAGAAATCACTATGTGGAAGAGATATTTGCACTCTCATGTTCATTGCAGCATTATTTGCAATAGCCCATGTATGCAATCAGCAGACAAATGGGTAAAGAAAATGTCATACGTATATATAGATGCACATATCTAATGAATATTATTCACCCTTAAAAAAAGTAAGTAATCCTGTCATTTGCAGTGACATGCATGAGCCAGGAGAACATTATGCTAAGTGAAATAAGCCTAGCACCGAAAGACAAATACTGCATAATCTCACTTATATGTAGAATCTAAAATAGTTGAACTCATGAAAACAGAGAGGTTATCAGGGTCTGTAGAAAGAGGATATGGAGAGATACTGGTCAAAGTTTCAGTCAGACAGGAGGAATAAGTTATGGAGATCTACTGTATAGCATGGTGACTATAGTTAAAAATAGTGTATTATATCCCAGAAAATTGCTAAAAGTAGATCTTAAATGTTCTCTCCATAAAAAAAAGATAAGTCAGTGAGGTTATGGTTGTGTCAATCAGCTTGATTTAATTACTTTATTGCATATACATATTGCAAAGCATCATGTTGTTCACCAGAATATATATAACTTTTATTTGTTCAGTAAACCTTAATAAAGCTGAAAAAAGAAAAATCAATGTTTCCAGCACCCAGAAGGCTCCTTCCTGACCCATCATAGCTAATAGCCTTCCCCTTCAGAGGTAACCGCTACTCTGCCTTCTCCCACCGTTGATTTGTTTTTGCCTGTTCTTTTTGTTTTTGTTTTCTTTTGTTTTGTTTTTTGAGGTGGAGTTTTGCCCTCGTTGCCCAGGCTGGAGTGCAATGGTGCAATCTCAGCTTACTACAACCTCTGCCTCCCGGGTTCAAGGGATTCTCCTGCCTTAGCCTCCCGAGTAGCTGGAATTAAACAGGCATGTGCCACCATGCCTGGCTAATTTTTTATTTTTAGTAGAGACGGGGTTTCTGCATGTTAGTCAGGCTGGTCTTGAACTCCTGACCTCAGGAGATCCGCCCGTTTCGGCCTCCCAAAGTGCTAGGATTACAGGCGGGAGCCACTGCGCTTGGCCTGCCTGTTCTTTAACTCCATAAAAATAGCATCATGCAGTGTGTTCTCATTCGTGTTCAGCTTCTTTTGTTCTCATAATAACTATGAGAGTCATCTGGTTGTGTGTATCAGTGGTTTGTTCTTTTGTAAAATGGCAAGGGGTATTCCTTTGTGTGACTATATCACAGTTCTACTACCTGTCCTAGCCATTCCCCTGTAGATGCACATTTGGGCTATTTCTGTTTTTCAGCTGCTAAAAATAAAGTGGCTATGAACTTTCCTTTCTTTAAAAATTTATCTTTATAAAACTTCAGATGTGTTTCGTAGAAAACATGACTTTGACACATAATGAGAAACATCAAACATTTAAATTAAAACCTCCAAACTTAAGGGATAATGTTAATTTCAAATGACATTATTCTTAAAAGTAAATGATATTATAAAGTGCAGTCTTAGGCATTATTTTTACCTATGGGACACAAACACAATAGTCCACAGCAGGATGTTTTTTTCATACTGCAGTTTGGGGATCATTAGTGTATTCTAAGTAAAATAATAATAATTAGGAAATAGAAAATAAGAGAAAAAGTCAAACTCCTTGGACTTAGTAAAGGTAGATATTATTTATTTTATTTTATTTTGAGACTGAGTCTTGCTCTGTCACCCAGGCTGGAGTGCAGTGGCGCGATCTTGGCTCACTGCAAACTCCGCCTCCTGGGTTCACGCCATTCTCCTGCCTCAGCCTCCCAAGTAGCTGGGACTACAGGCACCCACCACCACACCCGGCTAATTTTTCTTTTGTATTTTTTTAGTAGAGACGGGGTTTCACCGTGTTAGCCGGGATGGTCTCGACCTCCTGACCTCGTGATCTGCCCGCCTTGGCCTCCCAAAGTGCTGGGATTACAGGCATGAGCCACCGCGCCCGGCCAAGGTAGGTATTATTTCTTATGACTTCTGTTTCACTGATGCAAGCATATGTTTTTCAGTTGCAACTATAAAGGGAAGATTGTCCCAAATCTATAGTGTGACATAAATGTATAATCACTTTCTGGAAAGAAATGATCATTCCTGAGAGAACACTGAAGCAATTTTCTGATATACTTTAATGGGATTAAGACTTACTCAAAAAACCAGTTATTATCTGCAACTAGCTGACTCAGTTGAGTGTCAGTGAAGAAATTTAGTGACCTTTGTTTAACCAAACGTTTATTTATTTTTTTAGTAGTCTAACAATAAATGTCTTCTTTTTCTATAAAATGTCCCCAATACAGGTAAATCTTTGAATTGGCCTACCAGAGACTTTTCCTTTGTAGCCTCCCCATGGAGGCTGAAATAACAGATAGAAGAGGCTGAGAGGATCCAAAGTGGTGAATAAGGCCGGGCGCTGTGGCTCACATCTGTAATCCCAGCCCTTTGGGAGGCCAAGAAAGGCAAATCACCTGAGGCCAGGAATTCGAGATTAGCTTGGCCAACATGGCAAAACTCTGTCTTTACTAAAAATACAAAAATTAGCCAGGTGTGGTGGTGCATGCCTGTCATCCCAGCTACTCAGAAGGCTGAGACTTGCCTGAACCTGGGAAGCAGAGGTTTGCAGTGAGCCAAGATCATTCCACGGCACTCCAACTTGGGCGACAGAACGAGACTCTGTCTCAAAAAACAAACAAACAAACAAACAAAAAATCCAAAGTGGCAGATAAGAGATGTCCAGTCCAAGCCAGGCATGGTGACTCACACTTGTAATCCCAGCACTTTGGGAGGCCAAGGCAGGCGGATCACGAGGTCAGGAGATGGAGACTATCCTGGCTAACACAGTGAAACCCCGTCTCTACTAAAAATACAAAAAAATTAGCTGGGCATGGTGGCGGGCACCTGTAGTCTAAGCTACTTGGGAGGCTGAGGCAAGAGAATGGCGTGAACCCTGGAGGCAGAGCTTGTAGTGAG